AACCCCCCCCCCCCCCCCAAACTTGTGGAGGGACATGGAAATTATACTACAAAGGAAGTAAAGGACTATAAGTCCAATGATCAGGAAAATTGAGATAATGACCTATTTAGTCATAGCGAGTTTTAACTAGTACATTTTGTAGTTTGCTTCTATGACTAATTGGATTTTTTGTTATTGAAAAATCATGTTATAAGTAGAGGCTTGTTTTTGTTCATCTTAAAAAGTTAATATTTGTTTTCTGTATCCATGCTTCATACTAGTTTTAATGCTATGTACGTGTGTGTTCATATGTGATTCATTGTGTGCTTCGCCTTATTGAAGCCATCGTGTCTTTTAGCTTTGTGCATTGCACTTGGGCACTGAACGGTTACTGCACTTCAATCCGCTTCATGCTTTAATAACACTATATAAGCGCTTAAATATTTCTTCCACTAACTAATGTTACGAGGCTGATTTCTAGCAATTCCTGATCTTTGCAGATATGTTGTCTTGCACACATGATGAAAATTCGTATCGTAAACTAAAGAAAAAACTAAGCAGTCAAAGGTTAAGCCTATTTCTTATCTAGACAGTACCAATAACATGTTTAATTAAGAAGGAAGAATAAACAAAAACCACCAGAGAACAGACTCATCCCAATCATATTACTTCGGAACATTCATAGCGTTGGAATCATACAATACTTTTGAGAAGTTTGTAATTTCGTCATAACCACTTAAGCGACCAATTCAGATTTCCCCTGACGTTGGATATGATTGGAAGGCGTATAGTTTTGGTTATTAGCTTAGATTTTCATATAGATTTGATGTATCCAAATGCTATCAGGTTACACGGTTTATATCATATGATCCTCCTAAGCTAATATCAATTATTGATATGTTCTCCCAATTACTAAGATTCTTTTGAACATGCCTCTTTGCATGACTATAGCCCTGCCGAAGTAAGAAAATTATTGCACCCCGCATATCTTCATTATGTATCGTTGAACACAATTCGCTTAAAACTTAATAAACTTGAAGATGCAGAGGAATTCCGATTCCTCTATCATCTACAAGTTTAATTAAATGAGAGAAGCCATGAGACTGTTTACGGAAGAACATTTGACCGCTATGTATGCCATGAAAGTCGATGTTGGGTTTGAAGCATTCGATTTTGAATATTAAAAAAAAAAAAAAAAAAAAAAAAAAAAAAAAAAAAAAAAAAAAA